AAACAAAACTTGTGCCAGAAAACGTCACTTGATAGAGATATCATCACAGAAATGGGGACTCAAAGCAGAAGTAGAGGGGGAAGCAAGTAGCCTGTCTGGAAAGGCCTTTGCTAGCTGCTTAGATTCTGTGCAAGGGACTGTGAAACCCAAAATCCACAGAGAGAAGGATAATCTGATGGAGACAACTCCATTTAAAAAGGAGAGAAAAATCAGAATGAAAGCAGATCAGTTAAGCTGAAGGTGGATGTATAGGCTATGGCACATTCTGTAGAACAGCCTTGACAAGTCAAGCAATTCACGATTAAGAAGAAAATGGGAAAAAACCTCACATGTTGCTGAACACCAATCTGCAAAACTCTACCAATAAACAAGAAAAAAAATAGAGTGTTTAAAGATCAGGCCAGTTTAAATGAAAGAGACAAAACTTAAAATGTAACTGGGGGAGAGACAAGAAACAAAGAACAAACCTGCTGCATTTGCTCTTTTCAGACAATAATTTCCCGGGACACATTTAAAGTGTCAAATCACAGCAGCCAAAAAACCAGCCAACTAGTCCAGATCTCCAGATGATTTATTTCAGCATCAGCACTGTCCCATTTATGTTTTAATGTTCTATTTGCTCTGCAGTCAATCCATGTGAGCAAATATGGATCAAAATGTATTTAGAGAAAAAACAAGTTAAAACAACAGAATTTGCAATATTACATGTGACCAAAAGTGTTCAACTTATTTTGTGTCTCCATTGAAAGAATCTCATTTACTGCCACTCTGGCAACAGTTGATTTTTTTTCCTGATCAGCATGAATACATTGAAAAAAAATCTAAGAAGCCTAAAAGTATTGGTACTTTTGTACCAAGTATTGGTATTGCCATAATGTTTCTGCCCTGGGGGCCAGGGAGTATTAGACCTTAATATATAGTAACTTCTATTTTAACTCCTATATTTTGCTATTATTTAAAGCTTAGACTATGTCCAACCTCTCGGTCATCCCATACAAAGTCCAATATAAAACCCTTTCCCAAAGTCATGTTTCTACCTTCCCCAGGAAGTGAAGAACACTACTGACATCATCTTTCCTGCTCTGCGCTCCCCAAAACTGAGTATTTCCTCTCATTACCTCAGTCTGGCTCCTACAGATCCCTCTTAAACAGTTTCTGATTTCCAAGTTAACAACCTCCATACTACGAGACTCATGCACCATTTCATTCTTTGCTGGGAAAAGGTAATATAATGGGAAAAGAATTATCATAGCAGTGATACAATATTCAAGAATGCCTAAAGGCCAGTATTTAAAGGAAACTAGATAATTGAAGATAGGCACCTAGTCAGATTTTCCCAAAGTACTTTCCAATGTGCTTATTCGTCACCAGATCCATTAGAGTTGGGCACTGTTTGACTTCAGGAGCAATTAAACATTTGAGTGCTTTTGAAAAAAGCTCACTAGGCACCTATCCACATCTTTGCATATCAACGACCCTTAAAAACCTGGCCCAATGGGATTTGGGAGCCTAAGTTCTATTTGTTTGCTATGGCACTTCTTCTTGGTGCCTAAAAATGGGACTTATGCCACTAGCTGGTTTTTAATATTTTACCACAGATGGTAAAGGGGTCCTAACTTCAACTAAATTTGATTCAAAGGTTCATGAGGAAAATGATTACTCTATTACTTAATCAAAATAACATGACTATGAAAAATAGTCACTGTTAAGGAGATCATGCTTTCAGCATTTGCTGATGACTGCAACTTTGTGAAACTTTAAGGTCTGTAAAAACACGCTGCCTCTCCCCATGTTCCCAGAGCTCCAGAGTGCTGCTGCCCTTCTCTTTTGGTCTCCGACCGTCTGGCTCTTTCCTCAGGTTCAGAATGGTTTCAAGCAGGTATGTTTTACTGATTTACAGATATTTACTTTTATATATTTTAAAATGTGATTTTATAAAGCTTTTAACAGTATACTATCATTACTAAATTGTCTGCCCCCCATGCCCCTAATTCCATGCAATCCTGAAATTTGAAACAGATAAAAATCGAAAGAAATGCTTAAAAATAAACATTGATTTTAGCCATTGAAATTATAACAAATTAAAAAATAAAAATGAAATTCTGCCAAGCCTACTCATGAACTACAATGGCTATTAATGAGTGTCTACGACTAGCATGCTTCAATTGTTTGTTTCCCAGTGGTGTATTGCTTTCCTTCATTTGGTAGCACCAATGGTCTGTAATGTCTCACAAACTGAAGCAGAAGCCATTCTCTGCTCAAGAGGGTTGTTTTTGCTACTGTTCCAGACTTCTGGAAATTTCAGCACAAGCTGACCTTTAAGCATGAGCCATCCCATTGAAATCGCACTACTCATCTGCTTAAGGTTATGCACCTGCCTAAGCACTTTGAAGGATTCCAAGCCCAGCACAAGTTCTAGACCTTGGACTAGCATAATAATTTTGACTTTCAGCAGTAATATTGATCATTCCAGATGTGCATCCCCTTCTTAGGCTATGACTTGAGTTAATTAATTGGAGCATAGGAACAGTCATATCAAGACAGACTCTCTAATCCACAGCTAATTCTGCAAAGGCTTAAAACAGAGGTTTAGGAGTAATACAAAAACAACCCCAAAGAATTTTCTGGCCTTTCCCTACCTGGCAATCTTATCATGTAGCATAGAGATAGGCATAAGGATTCTTGCCCTTTGTATACATTTCAGCCTGGCTAATATAATGACAGCTGCTATCTTTATTCAGTAAAAGTATTAAATTATTTTGTTCATTTTCCGTAGCCATTTGCCAGCATAATGTGTTCCAACAGCAAGTTCTATAAGCCATTTACATATTAACAAAAATATGATTTCCTATTACCCATTTTATTTCTGCTCCACCTCCAGTGAGATGGGTGACAAGTGTGAGTACTGCAGTCTACCACTTTATTTGCTTGGACTTTTCACAAAGGGTGTTATCTTAGTGTATAAGTGGTGTAACAAAAGAAAGCAGAAAGAGCAAGCACATGTAAGCAGAAAGTGAGTATAAAGCTATATCCAATTAAAGGGGGAGGGGAAAATTCCCCACCTACTACATCTTACAGAATAGATGCCTTCACAGAGCAGGTGACAGCTGAGGTAGGTGGAATGATCCTGTGACTAAGACAGTGGACCAAGACTCAAAACATTCAGGTTCTCCAAACTAAAGAACCCTAATTCTTTCAGCCTTTCCTCAAAGGTCTTGCTTCCCAGGACCTAAACATGTTTGTTGCTCTGCGCTGAACTATTTCTAACTTGTCTACATCCTTCTTGAAGTAAGGAACCCAAAACTGGACGCTGTACTCCAGGTGTGGTCTCACCAGTGCTTAGCCACGTTGTATTCGTGCATGCAATTAATCTGTCCTAAGTGAAGGACTTCACATGAGTCCTTGATGAATCTTATCATATTGATTGCAGACCATTTCTTCAATTTATCCAGGTCATTCTGGATCCCAGTCCTACCCTCCAGACTATCTGCAGCTCTGCCCAACTTGGTGTTGTCCACAAATTTGCTAACCTTGCACTTCATCCCATTGTCCAAATCATGAATGAAAATATTAAAGAATAAATATTTAAAAAGCTATTAAACAATAAATAATAAAAGAATGGCACAGTAGTGCAGTTCTCAGCCTGTAAAATGGAGATCACAGCCCTTCATCCCTGCAATAGCTGAGAATATGCATTAATTTTCAGAACTCCACACCCTGTGAAGTAGTTAGGAAAGGGTTATGTAAATACCTACACTGACAGAGGGATAGAATTCAAAACTCCAGCAATATTAGGTAGTTTAAAGAAGATATATTTGATTTTTTTCAGCCCACAAACTCAAGATTTTTTTTAATGCACAGACGAGCTACAAACCTAAATCCCATTCCCCAGATTTTCTTAGTACTTTATATTTTTAATAGTTTTTCATAAGATTTTTAAAATCACTTATGGGCTCTATAAAACAATATAATCATATTTTGGTGCATTTGTATAAACACAAAGAAAAACTTTTAGTGCTGTTTGGCCACCATATCTTTATCTAAATCAATCTCAGGAGCTTATATAGCCTTCATTACTATACTATTTGAGTGTCTTCAGATTCCATATCACAGCGCCTCTCTGAAACAGGGAAGCACTATAATATACACACACACACACTTTGTATAAAATGTACTGTTATAATATATGTATTATAAATATAAATAAATAAATGTGTGCTTGTACACACTTATAATTTGCTACCTCACTTCACAGATGGGGAAATGAGACCAGCAGTTGGCGACCACCCTCAGATGCCGCCGGCGGTGGCGGGCGGGAGGGGTAGCAAGCAGTGACTGCCTGCAGGCTCTGCCAGCAGCGTTGGCGGCGCTTTTCTCAGGGGGTGCACCGCCAATCTCAGGGGGTACATGCGCACCCATGTGTGCCCCTATGCATTGCCAATGGTGAGAAGTTTTCGAACAGCCTTATTTCTTTCCAAGGAAAAGGCTAAACCATACACTAGAAAGAAAACACCTGTGGATACGCAGGTGAACATCTTACCAAGGGGTAAGAGGGAGCAGAGCTTTTTTGTGAATGAGCTGCTCAATGTAGTAATTTTCTGTGTGCATGTTCCTACCACGTAGCGAGCAAAAGCTATGCTGCAGCAACTTGCCCCTTTTTCATGACAGGAAAAATGTAAGTGCTTCCACCTATGGCAATAACTTGACGATATAAAAGGGCATCTTGATTGGTGCCTCAGTATAAGGTGTTTCAGCCACAAGCCTCTTAAATAAGCCAAACCCTATAACAAATATGCCTACACAGAAGCAAAACAACTTCTGATACAGAGAAATATAAGACTGCCTCTTCCTATCATTTGCAAAGACTACCAGCCCCTCCAGATCTACGAACTTCTCTGCATGTCACTATTAACAGTAAGAAAGACTAAACATTTTGCCAGTAACACAGTAGGCATTTTACTCTTTGCTTGTTGCATCTGGTTGCCTTCCTATTCTCCTACCTGTTTGTGCCACCAAGTGGGTCCATCCACTCCAGACTGCTCCAATCTTTTCATCTAAGAAAAAATTAGCTTCTATTTTGACTGGCTCAGCAAGAAAAATCTCTTTGCTCACAAGCTGCCCATGTTTGTTGCTTCCCCAGACATACAATTCTCCTTTATCTGAAATAAATATGGAAGTAAAGAAATCAGTAAAAAGCTATATCTGTAACATGTCCCCATGTAACATGGGGAAAAATGTGACGTGTTAAAGTGAAGGCAACATTTTAATTTAATTGATGAGTTTCTTGTGTGTATATTGTATTGTTTCTGTCCCCCCACCACCCCCAACACATATACACTTAAATATAAAAAATAAAATAGCCATTAGGACCATAAAAAAATTTCCTCTTACAAGCCAGAACTAATAATTGCTCTCATTCCCTCTCCACACTACTATACTCTAACTACTACTGCAACAGATGATTGTTCAATAATTACTATTTCCCTCTATTTGTTTAATACTATATTTGAATGCATACACAATGGATTCCACCCTGGGGGATAATTACATTGTTATTATTGATTTACAGTAACATCCACACTGTTTTGTGTGGTTTCTAAACATTCGAGAACATTATTCAAGAAGCTCACAGTGCGAAGTCCAACAGACAGTCTATACCACAGCACCCTTATGAAGCAGCCATGGGTTGGGAAGAACAGCACCAGCTACACACAGTTTATATGCAATCAACTCAATTCATTGCAAACAGCATGGCAGCAGTGTGGCTTTTAAAGGGATTTAAATAAGATATGATTAATGTACCATAGGGTAACGAGTTTGGAGAAAATGAGTCAGAACAGAATACAAAATAGTTCAAGGAGGAAATAGAGTAAATCTACTTGAAATTCAGTTTTTTCAACCCTGGAAAGATTAAGACTATACACATGATTAAAGTAAGAAATATTTATCTATATGAGAACGTATTTTTATATAAATAAGTATAATAGTAAAAAGTAAAGTATTAATACACTATTTTGAGCATAATTTATACAGATGTAAATCTAGAGACATTCCACTGAAGTAACTTTGTTTTCTGGTGTTCAGATGCAACTGACAGGAGAGACTAGAAAAGAACTTAGTGTAACTAAACGCTATCTGATCCAAAAATGTTGAAGAAGAGGAAGGAGAAGAAAACACTGTACACCAAGCTAGGCATGTTTTAGGTATTTTCCAAGACTTGTTATGGGAAAGAATCCAGAAAACTGACTTTTCTTTTATTCAAATTCCTTCCCAGGGGTGGGCTGCAGCTGCAGGCTGGGGCTGGGGCAGGTGTGGGACAGAGCCACGGCTCATCTGGGAGGGGCATGTAGAGGGGGGGGGGGGGGGGCCCCCCCCCGCGGGGGGGGCGCACAAGGATGGCAGACATAGCTCATTTTAAATAAAGAAATAAACAGTAGGCCATAGATTACAATTTTCTAGACACACTTCAAAATCTCTATCTACCATTTGCTCTTCAAGTACTTTTTAGTGTCATCTCTGTAGTTTGCAAAAATCCTATAGCTACATAGTGATAGCCTGTGAGTGTGCTCCTATGCCAGACAAAATTAATAAATAGGGAATGACATTCCTCCATCATCCTTTACTTAAATGCTGCCATCCAAGTTTGCAACAACTGCTTCTACAGTTGTTAAAATTGTCACATATGTTCCATGAGTGACCAGTAGATGGCAGGTGAAACCAGAAAGAGAGAAAAAATATATGCACATATAACAGTGCATTATACAATTCATAAGATCCACGGAAAAATCCGCTACAGAGTGTGGCTGAATTACCATTTTAAACTGGGCATTGCACTACTTTGAACCAAAAAAGTACCACTAAAAGCTGATGCAAATGAGAGACACCGAAGTATTAAATTATTAGATGCTTTGTCACCTGGCTTCAGCAACTTCAGTTTCATTGTAGCCAGATTACTCACTCTAATAGCCAAATCCAAGAAATAAAACCAGGAAGCATAGTCTGATACTTAACCAAATTCACCTGCCAGTAACTGACTACCCCAGACTGATAATGATTTTCTTCACAGTATCCTGTACTTATTGGTACCCAAACTCTGCATCACAGGAAATCATTAACACTCTATTTTACATTTTCTCACATACCTTAACCTCTGTAAATAAGTGACTACATTGGGATGAGTTTAATGTGTGATCAGACATGTGCAGCTTTACTCATGAATTGCTCTTCAGAAAAGCTTTCCATGCCTCAAAAATATAAAATTATACCATGAGAGGAAATCCTGTCTTTCCTTTGCCTCATCCAACTCTGGCAGTCCTTCCATGTGACCTATGGGTTGCTCCTGCAGCAGCACAAGAGAAACAACTGCTGATCTTTTGGCACAAAGCAGGATTTACATGTGACAAAAGTCATTCAGGAGCACAGGCCCTGTTGTTTTTCAAAGAGACTTCTGCTCCTAAGGCCCCTAGCAGATTGTTCAGTTTAAGGTGTGATGGGATCTGCGTGCAATCCCAACAATTGTCTCCTGCCATGCTATACATGCACAGCAAGAGGTAAGATTGTGGGATTGGGGATCAGATCTCAATCATGCCATATTGTTGGTGCAGGGGGAGCCTGAGATCATGATCTGCACTGGCAAGCAGCAAACCAGTCAGCTGATCCATGCTTTCAGCTTCAAGAGCGCATTGGAGTCAAGGACTCTAATGTACACCTCAGGCTGGGATCCCCAATCAGCTGCCACTCCCAGCCTCTTGGGGGAGTGGAGTCAAAGGCTGCCATGCACCCCAGAAACTGAGAGCAGTAGTCATCTGATCTGCACGCTCAGCCCCAGGGGCTAATCAGGGCCTCTGACTCCAATGAACCCCTGAGGCTGGGAGCAGCAGTCAGCTGATTGCCACTCCCAGCCGCCCGAGCATATCAGAGCCAAGGGTTCCTATGTGTTTTCAAGGCTAGGAGCTCTGATTAGCTAGGGCCTGGCCACACGTGCAATTTAAGACACAATGGGAACCAGCCACAAAGTTATTGCACATATTTTGTGGAATAACTTTGTGGCTTATCCCTTCTTTTATCGTGTCATTAATTACATTAATGTGTGGCCAGGTTACTACTTAAGACATAATTAACTGGTTAATCACATCTTAAGTGAAATGTCTGCCAAGGACCAATGTGACTAAATTTATAAAAATCCTACTAGATCCTCTAGCAAACATTTACAAAAGACCAGATTCTGCCACTCTTACTCACAGTGAATAACAGCAACTTACTCCATGAATATTCCTATGAAATCAAGGGAACTATCTGTGGAATAAAGTACTACTATTCAAAGTACGTAAGGGTGTGCAGCCTAGCATAAGCAAAGGAGGCAGGCTAAGGTATGCAAAGGAAGGAATAAGGAAATGAATCCATTCAACTTCACTGTTAGGTAATTTAAACTTTCTAACACATAAACACCACTGAAGCAGGACTGTGAAAGCTGGTAGGATCACAGCACAAACTGAAGAGACCGGAGTCAGATCCAACTCTAACAAAAATTATATATTCACAATATAATACAATGCATTGTCCAAGCCTATGGATATGGATGTAGAGAACTAGAGCCTACCTGTAAGTGACACCGAATGGTAAGAACTGGCAGTAACTCTTTTCACCTTTACCTTTTCCAGGCCTAGGAAAGATTAGTACCATGTAATTAACATAGGCCAAGTTGCATACATGCATACAATACATAAAGCAGTCGAAAAACAGACCACATAAGCTGTATTATGGTCAAGAATTATGCCAGGAGCATGACAAATTATATATTTTACCTCAGTCCTCTCAAGCCATTACAGAAGTCAACATTCTTTGTTCAAGGAGTTATGACCTAGTGTTCCCAGTCCGTATCTCAGATATTCCATGAACCACCATGCCAGTTCCTGAGGCTACATTTAAAATGTGGCATTTATGTTCATTTCTATAAATTAAAACTAAGTCCAGCTTCCAGACACTGGCCATGCAACTTCCACACTGCCATACCTGGCCCAGGTGTTAGGGGGAAGTCTTGGGGAGCATAGTGGGCCAATATCTTTTCCCAGAAATCCAGAAAAAGCACCAGCAGAACCACTCCACACAGACAACTTCAGTCCAACAGCCAGACATGCTCCTTTTATGCAAGAGGGACAGGAGGATCCGTTAAGCATCAAAGACCCACTTCTCCCACCTCCACTCACCCATGTTCCACAGCTTCCAGGCTGCCACAGAACACCGCTCCTTTACCTCCAGATGCCTATTTTGTATTGCAAAAGCTGCGCTGGATCCCTGTGTCTGTGAAACAGGGCATCTGGATATTCCCTTTACTCAATAACAATGAATACAGTGCAGTGCGTTCTATGATCTGAAATGTTGCATGATTATGCGGAGTGGGCATAACATAACAAAAGGCCTTATTAAAAAAAAGGGGAGCAAGTGGGGAATATGGGTATTCTTTGTATGCAAGTACACAATCCTGTGTATTACCATACCCATGCAAATAACAGTATGAGGTCTTAGTTACCTGATACTCGACATGGTTCCTTTGCTGTCAGAAAGGGTGGGATAGTTCTGCCTTGGTTCATCCGTTTTGCCCGAGATGCCATGCCAGTTCCCCACTGGAAAACTAAGCCACTTTCTTCTCAATGTGAAGATACAAAGGGAAATAAAAACAGAGCAAATTACTGATGGTGCTGCTTGTTTTTTTCACTTATTTACTCCTTTCAAAGGTGTGTTTGCTACACTGGTTCTCATTTTAGAAATCACTGCTAAATATTATTTAAAGGCTTAAACAATATCTCACATGTACAATCCACTTTCTCTATGTTGAATGAGTATCATACAAAGCCCCTAATTGATAGGCAGTTGTTATTCTCAAGTCACTAAGCCAGTGAAGAATAAGCAGCTTGCTCCAGATCTCCAAGGGCTCCACTGCTAAGTTACATAGGAACCACAGTCATAGAAATCACATAGTGTAGAAATGGACATTGCCACAATGAAATGGATCAGCTGTGGCAGAACACACGTGGTCACTTGGCCTGCATCGAGCCCCCAACCTGATGCAAGACCACAAGTGATGGGTTCCCCTTGCCCACAGATTTCCTAGGTCCCTTGCTGCCCCACATCATGTTCTGTGCTGATCCATGTCTCCCGTGGAGGCACGGGTCAGCACAGGTCCCAGGATGAGGCTGGGGAATTTCTGGAGTCCTGTGCCTCCTTGTGGGGACCAGGAAGTATGGGCCAGTGTGGGTTCTGCTAAAAAGGAACTGGACATCAGGTATTTCTTGGCACCTGTGCCGCCCTGTGCTGGGACCCACACTGACCCATACCTCTGCCTGAAGTATGGATCACAGCCAGTCCTGGCAAGGAGGCGCATGGAGGTGCAGGAGCTGGGAAATTCGCAGAGCACCATGCCTCCATGCTGGGACCTGCACCGAGTCCCACACCAACCCAAATCCCTGTGCTAGTTCCACTCCCCGCATCCCTCAGGGCTCCCATCCTGCTCCCATGACCTTAAGGGCTCAACCCCACGACCCCAGTTCATGCAGCTCACACCCCAGACCTCCCATCCCATGCAGCTCACTCCCATCCCCCAGCTCACCCCTCTCTCCCCAGTCCATCAGGGTTCATCTTCCCACCCTCCTGGCCCTCAGGGTTCAACCACAGTCCCCCTCCTCACCCCCAGCATCCTCTGGCTTCCTGCTTACCTAAGCTGCTGGAGCTGTCCTGAGGGAGCAGGCAGGGGAAGAGAATCCACCCACCACCACCCTGCGGGCTGAGGCCAGTGAGGAGAGCAACAGTGAGCAGGCAGATTCCCCTTCCCTGCCCGCTCCCCCCAGGACAGTGCCAGCAGCACAGGTAAGCAGGGATCTACCAGAAAGCTGCAGGGGAAGGGGAGGGAGTAACTAAGCAGAGATCTGGTGTGAGCAGGGGCCAATCCAGACTGGTGGGGGCTGACACAGGCCCAACCTGAGCCAGCGTTGCCCATTCCTGGGACCTATAGTGCCCAAGCCAGACAGGCACAAAGCAAACTTGGCAGCTGTTAGCCAAACCCATGCTCCCCAGCCCTCTTGGGGCAGCACGGAGCAGTGCACATTAGAGAGGGTTTTAACCCTTAACATGTGGCTGCTCCCAGCACACAGCCTAATGTTCCTTAGAGTTAGCACAGGCAAACTGTAACATGTAACTACAACTTAAGAGAGTCACAAGTCAACTCCACAATTAGGCCTCCAGTCCGTGGGGAAAAGGCCTGTCCACCCTTTTCATGCCAATTCAGGTATTACAAGGTACTCGATTCCTAGTATTTGTTTCAACCACTGGACCACACTCTTCTTCCCATCTCCTAACACAACGCTTACCTGTCTAGAACCCATAAGCAAGCAACAAAAAGAAAACAGAATGGACAGCAATGATGAATGATTATGGGGAGAGGGCATAATATAACAGAAAGTCTTATTTTAAAAAAATGGGGAAGTGGGAAGGCGTGAATGACAGTGCTGTTTGTTGATCGCCATAAACATTGCCAGCTGTCAATTACCAGTCCCTCCTAGCTATAAGCCCAACTTCAGTCACTCCATGGGCAAAGCTGCCAAAAAAGCATTGGAGGTTTCAAAATAGTTTACAGAAACCCTTAAAAATCATAGAAACTATGACTCACCCAGGCACAGCTCAGTGGGTAACAAGAGTCCCATAAAGCCATATTTTTAAAAGGAATCTATGTGATTAAATAGTGTTGAATATTTGATTCATAGGGCTGGCTGGAATTTTTCATTCCAAAGCATTTTGATTATAATGAAATTGCTTTGAAAACATAAAATGAAGCCTTTTCAAAATGTCCAGTTACCACCATTCATTTTGAAACAACTCTTCCAAATAACTCATATCCTGTTTGTAAAAACTAAATGAAATTGAATTAGGAACATAAACTTTTTTTGACTGCCTGGAAATGACTATTTTTTTGCCAAAATGTTGTTTCCATAGGAAATGGCTTTTTTTTTAAGCTTTTACTCTGTTTCAGAATGGAAAAAAAAATGAATTAATCGAATTTCTCATCAAACAGAAAATCTAGCTGCTGACCAGCAAAAGCCCTGAGTTCTTGGGAAGACATCTTCACTACATTTTACTGGAAGGGATATGAATCATCTCATCTTTATCATATTCCTTATAATGGGCAGGATCCTTATCATCATGTTCTTTCCTGATAATCTCTTTTATGAAGTACAGGACTCTACAGGTGCCATTATCCTCCATTTATGACGATGGCAGATAAAAATAAATCCCCCATCTCTCTCACACCCTTAAAAAAGTTATTAGACCAGTGGTCTCAACCAGGGTGACACAAGACCCTTTCATGGGTGTTGTGCCCCCAGCACTGCTGCTGCCGCAACCAGGTGAAACCATTTCGCCCAGTTCTGTTTCTTGGAGGGGTGTGCAGAGCCAGACTAGGAAGTAGCTGAGGTAGTGGCCAGCAGGTGCCCCTGATGCAGCTGCTTCCCAGTGTGACTCCATAGACCCCTCCTGGAAAGAGAGGTGCACAAGGCAGCTCCACCTGGCAGCAATGGCACAGACACCTGGAAATAAAATAAGCAAGTGGGACCAGTGGTTCTCAACCAGGGTGCTTCCAAATTCAGAAAAGTTATGGAGGGGTGCCTTGAGGCTAAAAAAGTTGAAAACCACTATATTATACCTTCTATATATTAAAAGTACTGTTAGTTTACAGCGGAAATGATAAAATTATGACAGCATATTCACCTGTGGCAGCAAGAGCATGTCTGATTCCTGCAGCAACATTCACAATCTTCTCCCTAAGGGACTATTCAAAATAAAAGAACAAACATATTGGTGTCTTTCCTGCTGTTTCAATTTTGTAACTCTGCAGGAAATGCATTTTATCAAACACAAGAAGTCTGAATTCCATTAAAATAAGTAACATATTGACAAAGTATGTCATAAAACAACACAGATAAATTAATTTTAGCACATAGTAACATTCATAAGAACCTCTAAAAAAAAGAACTCAAAAAAGTGGAAAATTTGGATTGGGTGTGTGCATGCATGCATGCACAAACACACACACGCACGCACACACACATTGGTCCTGCCGAGCAGCGCTGCGCCCACGTGATATGACAGTTGCCACACACGCACCAAGTGGGTGGGGGCAATCCCTGCTGCCCCTTCCTGCATGGGGGGCTCTGCCACAAGCCCTCAGAGGGGTTGAGGGGGCAGCCATGGGGGCTTCTCCCACAGCTCCCCTCACCCAGGGAGAGGCAAGCACAGCCAGAGGAGCTGCAGGAGAACCTATAGCCACCCGGCTATGCCTGCCTCTCCCCGGGTTGATCGAATCTCCGAATCAGCACCGAAACAGCATCAAAACTCCAAAACAGATTTGGTCGAATCGAAATGGAACAGTAATACAAAACGCTGAAACAAATCACTCTCCCTCCGAAACGCAAATGAAACACAGCCATTTAGCACAGCCCTACTATTCAAGAAGCTTATTAAATTAGGGGGTTGCCGATGATATATCAGTTATGTAAAAAAAAACCAACCCAAAAATCCACTAGGAGATAGTTACATTTTAGAGATGGAACCAACCTGCAGTCAGGAAGACAGACTATACTTTATAACCATAAGGTAGCAACCCCCGAAGTTTCTAGTTAGGCTTAGGGTCCATTATGTCACGATGCTCCTAGAGCAGCTGGGAATTCAGGGGGCAAGATAAGCCAAAATCCAGGCTACAGAGCCCTGTTGCAGACATATGTTGGTGGAGGCAAGCAATGGCTGTCTTCACTCCCATAGCTCACCCTTCTGCTGCTCGCCCCATGGGCTGAGTCTAACCTCCCTGCTTTATCCATTGTCCCAGCACCTAAAAGGATGGCACATAGCACCCTGTACCCAAGAAGATAAGGACATTTCTATCTCTAATTTCTGTAACCATGCTGTGCCAAAAAATAAAAAGAAAGGGAAGGGTGTTTGGTAGTACCAGTAAGAGTGGAAATCCTAGCCAAAAGAACCAGAAAGGAGCCTGCAGATTCTGAAGCCCTAGAAAAATTGAGTTCTCTGCAGTGAAACAGAAAAGGGAATTTGTCTGGGTGTGAAGGAACGTTCTTAAAAAAAGAAAGAAACATGTAAATTGGGCATTAATTAGAAGAAAAGAACAGTGCTCCCATGAGTAATTTATGCACAGTACTGGATTTAGTCACCAGTAGTAGAGTTTCACTAAGGATAAAAAAGTCTCAGCAACTATTCCTTTGCAGATTTTAAAGCAATTCACATAGGATATAATCTGATCCCCAAACTCATGTTCAGTAGTGCCTTACCCTACAATGACTCCTAATGACTTCAGTATGACTATTAGAGGTGGAGGCAAGTCAAGTTTTATACAGCTTGAGAGAACATATCAGAATCAGTCCACAAAAATCAGTAAAGAAAAGGATTCTTTATTCTCCAAGTGCATTTCCCTTCAAGTTCTATATGGCATGATGAGCATTTTTGGGTTAAATAAGGACACTACCAAGGTATTTTTCATTTCCTTTGCTATCCATTTTTTTTAACTATAGTTTATACTCTAAGAGAAGATGCATCTCAAAATCATTCCCTCAATAACATTTCTATTTTCCTATACATAACCTATTATTATTGGTACAGTCAAACATGGTAGCTTCTAACAGTGATATTTGTTCAATCAAGAAATAAAGTTGTGTCATTCATATCAGGAAGGGAGCCAAAAATATAAATGGATTTTGCAAATTTTGGTTAAAAAAAAACAAAAAAACCCCACTTCTGACACTGTACATGACACTGTACTGCTCAGTGATAAAAATACAGGAACATAAAACCAAACTGAGATTTTTATAGCATGCTCTAGCAGAAAGAACTGAGCTAAACAAAAAAGAAGTTCCTACCATAGAAGTCCCAAAAATCAATCAATTCTATTGAATTCCATTGTGTTTTTGTACAAGTTAACCTTTGAATTTTTCAATAAAATATTTCAAAAAGCTCAAAATATTTTAGAAAAATGAACAGAAACTCTCTGCTTTTCTCTTCAGAAAAGTACTGAAAGATTTTAGCAGTCAGATGTTTCAATAAGGCAAATCAACAATTTTCACTATCTGAGGATATGTTTTACTACCCAGGTTGCAATGCTTTGTAACATTTACAATGGTCATCAAGATGCATATTTATGAAATACATGTGCCCTTACAACATATACCAGGGCTGCACAACCCCTAGGCCACATCCAGCCTCCAGTACCATATCATCCAGCCTGTAAGGCTCCCCACAGATCCTGTAGGGAGCCCTCAGGCTGTGGCCCTGCACACTGTATCAGGCACAGAGAACAGTGTGGGGCCCCCAGAGCCTGATCCTGGCCAGGCAGCGACAGTGCAGGACCCCAGGTCTGGATCCTAGCTAGTAGGGCTGTGCTAAGCTTTGGTAGCCGATTCAATTTGGAGGAGATCCAGCCTGATTCGGGGACCGAATCTCTGAATCTGAATCAAATAGGGAGACCAATTAAAAGCTCCAAATAGATTCGAAGACTCCGAATCAATTCGGAAAAACTTTGGAAAATATTCGGCCCGTTCGGAGATTCGGCCATAGACTAAACAGGCAACTGACAGCTGCCTCCAGCTAGTAAGTCTGTTGGGGTTGGGTGAGGGGGGATGGGACTGGGACAAGCTGCCCAGCCATGGCAGGGGGGCGTGGGCCTCGGGGAGAGGGGGGGGGGGGGCGGGGAGCGGGAGTGGCAGCACATGGAACGGGGGCTATGCCCTGCTGCCACTTGCCAGCTGTGGGGGGCGCTACCGCCACTTGCCAGCCACGGTGGGGAAGCATGGGATGCGGGCACAGCAGTGCTGGAAGCGGGGGCTATGCCCTGCTGCCAGTTGCTCCCTTCTGCCCATAGCGAGCCATGCCCACATCCCACGTCCTGCCCCGGCTGGGCAAGCAGCAGCAGGGCATACTCTTCCACCCAGAGCGAGCTGCGCCCATATCCCGCGCCCCCTGCCCTGGCTTGCAAGCAGCGGCAGCACCAGGGCAGGGAGGCACAGGACTCGGGGAGGGGACGGGGAGGGGCGGAGGATGCAGGCCCAGCTCACTCCGGGCAGAAGGGTATGCCCCGCTGCCATTTGCCCAGCGGGGCGGGGGGTGTGGCGGGGCGCAATGTGGGAGTGGCTGAAGCGGCACCAAATCTTTCGGATCTGATTTGGCTGAATCGAATCAGGACAGTGATCCGAATCTCTGAATCAAATCACTGTCCTCCAAATTGGCCAAATCTGAATCAAATACTTACCACTTCACACAGGCCTACTGGCCAGATGGGGGGCCCCTGCCACCTCCACCCAGGTAGCATCATTCATGTGAGTAATCCTATTACCCTTAATAGATTGAAGGACCTGTGCCAAAACCCACTGAAGTCAGTGGATTTTGTACGGAGACTTAAAAAAAAGCATAGAGAATTATGTCTAGAAAACAGTTTTTGTTAAATCTTTACCTCAATCTTTTGTGGGCTCAAGCATCCTCCTAAAGTTTGGGGAAGTCCTAACTGTCCAAAAGAGTTAGAACCACAGGATAAAACTTCACCATTTTCTGAAAGATAAAACAACATAAAGAAGCAGAACAAGTCAAAGCATTACAACTCTCAGCAATACAAGTAACTGAATTAAATGAAAAATATGCAAGATATCAGAGCACAGCATTTAAAAAAACTGGTGCACCCTCTTTCAAGAGCTGAGTCCACTGCACAGGGTTTATATAAATCATGCTCAGTAATGGTCTTGAAAGATTACAGGACTAGGGATAGAGAAAACATTCAAGGAATTCAACTTACAAAGCAGAGAACCTAAAGGATGCAGACAGAAGTGCAGCTCCTGTGTCTAACTTACAGCACTTCACAGAAAGTACCATGATTTAGACCAATCATCCCAACCCAACAGATCCAGGAGCCTGCACCCCCCTGGGAGGAGTCTGGCACAGCCCCACAGCCCTCCCGGGGGGTACAGACCCCCGGATCTGCATACGGGATGACAGCATGCTGCCTGACACAACAGACATTAGGTGCTGGGTTAGGAGAGTGGGGGATCAAGCTCCAATTTGGGGGCTCCAATCTCAGTGGGGCCCACCCCACCTTCCAGCACCAGCTGGACACCCCTCAAAATGAGCTTCCTTTGCTCCTTTCCCCCCCTTCCATTCTGAAAACAGCGCTGAGAGCAGGGCTGGGATGCATAAGCCCAGACCTGTTTCTGGTGCATGCCGACACAAGTTAATGAAGACTTTGGAGCACCTTCATCTGAACCCTCATGTAATGAGAGTTCAGATTGTTACAGGATCGGGCCCTTTTAAAGAGCTCTGAAGCTGGGCACTTGTGTTAGGTCACAGCTGTAGAGCTCTTTCAAGGGCCAAATTGGGCAAAAATGGTCATTTCTATCTGTGCTTAAAAACTACTTGTACTCATCTACTTTGTACAACCAAACTTTGTGGCTTTTACTGTACACCATAATATTTTCCTAGATCCTAGCAAGATGGATTTACCTGTAAGTATGACTGTAAAATCCCAACCACAGGCAACTTGTATCACATGCAAGCTGGACAATGCAGTGCACAAAGTAAAACATAGTACATCCTCTGTATGATTCAGTCCCAACTGTCCTTCTTTGTTTTGGCCACATACAAAGAGTTCACCTGCATCTGCAAAATAAAACCACTATTGAACCTGGATTCATTACAGATGTAAAACAGAACCATACACAGCATGGTTTTATGAGAAATAAGTATGAGCACACAGGCCTCATCTCCATGAAGAAAAAATATTTGCTTCTAATGCATTAAAATGCCCCCTTTTCTTATTATCCACAGCCATCAAGTATGCAGTTGCCAAGGGAGATTATTCCCCTTCCTCCCACAGCATTTCAAAATCTTTTCTGCTATCATTCCTACTTTTCCTAAGCAGACATAATACATGGCAGAATTTTCCACCTGGGGATTAGAACCCTATTTAAAAGAAGGCTCAAGCTATCTTTTCAAAGTGAAATACCCCTGTTTTAACTCCTCCCCCCAAAAGAAAATTCCCTTCATGATAAACAGGTGGAATATCACAATTATAAAAAAAAAAAATACAATTTTCCCCACCCCACCCCACCCCACTTCCCCACAAAAATGCAGGTACTTAGCTACAAATAAACAGTTTTGAAACTAAAAATTGGCACTTGCTATAACCCACAGAGGGCAGCAAAATACCAAGAGAAAAACACTCAAGCAAGAAACCTCCTTTAAAAGATGACAGTCCATCAAGTCTAGGGTCAGTATCAGACAAATGTTTGCTACCAGTGATAACTGCCGAGTGCCCTCCTCCTCCGGTGATGCTTTTAATCCTTTGCTGGTTGCATGGAAAAATTTCCAGTGACTGAGGTAGCAGTACATCCTCTTTATGGCCAAGGCCCAGCTGTCCATAGCTATTTGTGCCCTTTAAGTACAGGCAGGAGAAAAAAAAAGAACAGAGGTTTGTTAACAGAAAGATTCCTTAGCCTTTAAATAGTATGCAGAGTTTGCAAAAATTCAGCTTGTCTCTTTTGAAGATCCCTAAATAAGAGTATTTTTGGATCTGAACCCCTGAAAAGACCTCAGATCATGCCTGACCCTCTATTTACACACGATACAAAGTGACTTCTTTACTAGGTACAATCTAGTCCAGTGCTTCCCAAACTTTTCCTCAGCATGACCCCATTTATTGCCCCATTTCCTCAGCATGGCCCCTCACTCTCAACCCACAGCCCTGCTCCCCCCAACCCCGTTTGCTGATGTTGTGGTCCCATTTGGGGTCACAGCCCACAGTTTAGGAACTGCTGATCTAATCTGTTTGGCAAAAGCCTATCTTATAGAAAAACACCCTGTCCTGATCTGAAGGCTCCATCCCAAATAGCATAACATTGCCTTTCTAACCCTCACTGGGCATGTCTTCACAAGATGCTGTCTGCACAGTCGTTACTGCATAGTCACTTAGTACTTGTATAAATGAATGGGTCTTTTATAATGCTGACTGCGCAGCAGTCTGAGATGACTGCACCGTAGTATCACATCATGGTTGCTGCCACGCAACGCTACGGTGCAGTAGTCTCAAGCTACTGCGTAGTCAGTCTTGTGTAGACACGACTGCTGACAATGAAGAATTTTGGTGCATTAGCTCTCCACACAAACATCCCAGCATGCATGTAACATGCTATGTATCCATATCCATACACAACAAGTGGTCCCAAGGTGCCCAGGCTCTCTCAGCACTATCTGGCATCACACCAGGTGCTCTCATGCCAGGTTCTATGATTCAATAGCAGCAAGACAACGTAAACTGTGTAAAGAGCTTTCCCATTATGCTCACCCAGAACACACTCATCACGGGTTGTGAGTTACCACATAAAATGACATTAACTGTTTTAAAGATAGCTGAAAATATGACTTTCTGCTGTTTTGTTCTCATTCAAAAACAAGCAGGTCCATCTAAGCGCTCTCTGCATTTTGTCTACCCACCCACTTTTAGATTGTGCAGCTTTTTGTAAATTATGCAGAGGTTACAACAATAGTATTAAAAAGGGGGGATATTTATAGGAATAAGAAGAAAATATTGCCACTGTCCATAGCAGCAGTGAGAACATTACTACAATAGCATGTCCAATTTTGATGTATACTCTTAAGAAAACACATACTGAGAAACTGGAAAGGGCTCAAAAACGTGATCCAAGGAGGACTTGACGTCAGGAATGCATACCTTATTCTTGAATGAATAAATTCAATCTCTTTTGTTTATCTAAGAGAGATTAGGAGGTGAAGTGATCAAAATCTGTACATACCTTTCTGATAATCATGTTTTTTTTAATCTAGTGGTTAAAAAAAGAGAAACGAGATCCAAAGGCTAGAAACCGAAACCAAACAAACTGACTAGAAATAAGGTACTGCAGAGATCATTCATCACTGGAATAATTTACCAAAGGAAACAGTGGATTTGCCTTCATTTTACATCTTTAAATCATGACTGGATTTCTTTTTAAAAACTCTTGCTCAGCCAAAAGTTAAGAACAACATTGGAATCACTTGGTGACATTCTCTAATCTGCATGATGTTGGAGGCTGTCATGCTGGTTATAATGCTCTCTTCCACTCTTAGAATCTATTGAATAAATTTGTTCTTCTCCATCATCATCTCAAACACCTTTCGAGTCTGATTATGGTTTCCCAAGAATATTTTGACTACATAAACGATAAACCTCCATGAGAAAACAGACTGAGACGGTGCAAATTGCTGTGTTTTAAATAACACTTAGAAGGTACCTGACCTACCTACACTGTGCATATCAAACTGCAGGCAGTTAATGCATGGCCTTTATTAAAACACAAACAGGTAGAGAGAACTTGCTATATAAAAATGTAAGATATTATATTATTAAACTATTAGGCACTCAAGAATATAAAATTTATGCTGCTAAATCACTGGTGTGGACTTTCCAAAGATTTCTTTCAAAACAAGTACTAGTAGAAAAATATTTGCAAGATTTACATGTTTATCAAAAGGTTTATCATCATCATCTCCACATCTGCCTTAATGCATCTTAAATAAATAAACAAACCTTTCCCTCTAGAGGAAAAAGTATTATGCTGCAGAACTGTATACCATGTAGTGCATAAAGTTTGTCAGCTGCAGCCCAATGTTTATTTGCTTCATTTTAGAACATGGCAACATTTAACTACCCAAGAGATGAGGCAAAATATGGGGCAATAATCACCTGTGATTCTACCTATAAAATTGCTGGCAGCCAATCATTTCAAGTTTCTACATAACCCTCATCACCATCACAATGTTTTAGGAATTTAAGCATCACAGCCACATCCCTGGAAAATGAAAAATACTAGCCATCATTCTGCAGAAGGAGAACTTAGGCGCAAAACAGATTCAGCAACTTGTCCAAAGTGGCCGGATCCAGATGTGTAGGCATGTGGGGTCTGTGGTGCCACAAACCTCTTTGCAGTGCCACAAACCACACATATTCCATATTAAACCATGTGCGGCGCTGCTAGCTGGGGCAAAATTTACCGAGATTTCCTGGTAGAAAAAAAAACCCTGGAAAAAGAAAAGCAGCGCAAAGCACGCCAAAGTGCTGTGTGCCAAAACAAACACGGAGACAGGCGAGAAGGAAAATGTGTCCTACCGCAAACTGCACAAGCAAGGGAATGCACTGCAGCACAAAGTAGTGGCACAGATTTGTGCCACTACTACTTGTCCTGCTGCAAATGCATGCCCCTACCTGTGTGAACGCGGCCACTTATACGGCAAAGCCAGGCCCAGGTCTCCTGAGTCTCAACACAATGCACTATTCAGTAAATCTCCCTTCCTGACACAATAACTGATCCATTCCAGTGCCATTTCCCATCCAAATAAAATGGTTTATCATAAAGTAAATAATTACTTTTCTGTACTTTGATGCCACAGATAGCATGAATGGCTACTACTTTCACTAGTTTACCAAATAAGTCTCTGACCAGATACCCACTATGAAGAGACAATTAGTTATTTTTAAAAAGCTGTACTATTCCTCTGTGACAATATTTGCTTATTTTTTGCATGCATCTGTTTCCTTACTCTACAAACACCCAACTCAGAGTGAGTTGGATGGAGTGCACAGGTTCTTCTTCATGTAGCCTTGGGCTTGTCAAACAGTCCCCAGAAGGGCTTCTAAATTTTAAAAGTACACAAATAGCTACATGAAAAAGTAGCTATGGACTTTAGTATGGTAGTAGTAGTATGGACTTTAAGCCAAATTCACTTTGTACTAGGGAATGCTCACACAGCTTTGCTGCTAGTGATGGAGTTGCACTCATTCTGTACATCAACGGTGAATTTAATACAGTACTCACAGGCAATGAACAAGAAAGGCGTATTAGCGTTAAAATTATGCAAGTGGTAATTATACTACTACTAATAATCATTCACCAGTAAGACTGTTGCCTAGAAAAGTTCATGCCTGTGAACCAGCTAGCTTCTAAGGTGCTACCTTCTACTTTATTATGATTTTGTTCACATAGACAACCCTGCAGAATCCTGCTCTCAAAAGAAGATAAGCAGCCTATGCTGCCTCATTTGCAACCTGGAATTAGTGAAATAGAAACACTTATTTGTCAACAGTCAGTTCAAACACTCGAAGCCTAAGCAAATTACTGATAGATTTATAAATGCATGCCGAGTCGGATAAAGGAATGAGATGATATATGCACTGAAAATAAAACATGGGAAGTATTAAGATAAGTTTTGGAATTCTTCAGCAGCTATACCAGCTGAATGCAATCCTCCCTTTTTTCCCCCTGACATATTTGCTCACCTCCGACAACTTTCTTAAAAAAAATTTTTTTTTTTAATAATACCAATAACCTTAGATCCAACGCAACCACCTCCTGGCAAAAATTAGTCACTGAAACCCTTGTCCTCTCTCTGTTTCACTCTGGAGTCCCTTGTCTACTCTGGTTTCTCTTCCTCTTCCATGCTGGGTTAGTAGCATCTGATGTACTTTAAAGGGAGATGTGCCATTTTAATAACAAATGCAGCAAAAAGAGGCTGAAATTCAGATGAGAGATTTTGGCTGTGCGCCATGGCCCATGATAAATGTACGCACGAAATTTCAAGATTCTAGCTCCACAGGAAGATGGAAGCTGGTGTCACTCTGTTATGATCAGCACGTGTAATCCTAGCTGGTTCAGAGATCACCTTTACATAATTTTTCCTGGAAGGTAATTCACATACTCACTGCAAGGTAAGTCACAAAATTAGATGCTGAGAAGACTGAAAAACACTTCCATGTTAGATGCATGCTCAAGATGCCTATCTCCATTTACCATCACATGCTTGCAGATGTAACTATTACTGACCATCGTGGCTACTGTATACATCAGAGGGATGAGGGTCAGAGCAGAGGCGAATCTATGGCTATTCACACAATATTTATGTCCATTTTGCATGTACTGTAGGTGAAATTCTGGTCCCATGGCAGTCAACAGCAAAACTCTTTGTGATTTCAAAGGGTCCAGAATTTTCCCCAGGGCATCTCCTTTATGAGGAGGAATGCACCTCCATGTACCATTCAAACTGCAGAATGAAAAGTCAGCAGGTGCGATCTCTCTTTGAACACCTACTAGGCTAGGGCAGAGAAATTCTCTTGGCTACCTCTCATGCAGCATAAATAACTAGGCACAATTGTCCATCAATGGATTATTTTTGCTGGATAGGAAGTGATAGTATTATGAGATGAATGAAGCACTGAAAAAAAAGGACATCTTCTGGTGTCCATTCCCAGAAACAGCTGACCACAATAGTGACTTGCCTTATTAATTTCATATCTTTTCTAAGAAGTAGCAGCATCCAGCACATGTGGAAATCGTCAGAAACAGACATTTTATTCTTTTTGAAATGAAAGCTTAAATACTGAAGACAGCATAAATTCGCTTTCATCCCTGACAAGCAATATTTTTAAACTATGAACAGTAGCTGTTCTTAAAATATACACATCAACTGAGAATATATCATACTGTTTTGCTTTGTTTTAAATAAAGCTAAAGATATTATAGGAATCTTTCAGGAGGAAAGAAAACTTTATTCCTGAATTTTTCCAAATAGCTTCAGATGTGAGACGCTTACAAAGAGAAAAATGTAAAAGAAAGAACAGAACCACAGCCCCTTTGTTGAGCCCCAGCTCAAGTCTGGGATCGTGCCCGGTATGCAAAAGCCAATAAAGATACCAGGGGTGAAAGTATAAAGATTTATTGCTAGCAATACAAGGTGCAAGCGGAATAATTTCACGTAACAAGCACACAGATTCTTAATTATGAGCATCTTTTATACAGGAGTATTGGACCTTCATAAGCATTCTTGTTTGCTAATTGGTTATAAGGGAGTGACGCAAGGAGTTCTTTACTGAGCATGTCTCTATACCTGTGTTTTAGCTATGTATCTCATTTCCATACATGTATGTTTCATTAGCATACTTTCTCCCCACCTAGGGGTGTGAATCTTAATATTTAAATCAGCTCTTTGCCCTACTCCACTAATTCTGTTTTTGTTTTCAAGCCTCCTTTATCTAAGACTGTCTTCTCCTTATCATTGCAATTGAGCATTAGTTACAGAACAGAGACTTTTGCTTGGGCTATGTGTAGTGGTTTCTAGGTCAAACCTAACATTTTCCCCCTCTGGAGCATTTTTAATTATTTTTATTATAATTGCTCCACTCAATTTGTTTCAACACAAACCTAGTATTCTCAGCTTTCTTCGTTTGTAAAATCATTTGATTCACCTTAGGTCTGAAGATAGATAAGACGACAGGTGAACATTGTATACATAGGATATTTGATTGGTCTTGTTACAAAGGATTCTTCTACCTTGGTTCAATTTGAAGCAATTATTAGTACAATTAATTATTAGGAAACATTCAGAAGCATTAGCTGTTGCCTGAACCCGTACGGAAAACATGTCTCTATTCTTCTCTTTTACAATAGTCTCCCACTTATATATATTCTGATATGTACTTTTCTTCTCTACATTCTTCAGCATAGTATAATTTTGTAAAATTTTTGAAGGGGTCGGTACTGCGATTAAGCATGTTCACTTACATGTGAAAAATGAGCAAAGTGTTAAGATCTCATTTTCTGGAGCTACAACCCCTCCATGGCATTCCTTAATTTTAATACTTTTGTTCATTTTGGCCTGTTCATCTGAAGAGAGGCATTATGGGTACCCAAATACACAAGTGACAGAATCTATTATGCATGTACTAAAACTGCATTGGGAGTATCTTAAGAAATAAGCCTTGGAGGTTCAGCACAGCACAACCTACAGTACAGACAAGCTGCCTAAGGAGCCTGTCAGACCACTTCCTATGATCTGGGCCTTGATTCTACAACTCCCCACATGAGTGAATTGCAATGCCTGCAAGGGGCCCTGCTGTCTTCACTATTTCAACAGTTTGTACTGGCACTAAGATTTGGAGACTGCATCCATGGGTGCGTGCAACCTACACCCTTAACTGTTTCTCTACAGCACCAGCTTTCAACCTAGTTAGACTCAAGGGTCCCCTGGGAATGTACCAACTCTGAACTTCCACTTGGGTTTTTTTTTAATATGGAACAAGAACAAAGTCATTCTGTGGCCAAGAACTCATATGACAGACCACAAGAGGTCAGAAAGGAATCTGTCTTGTTAAAACCAATTTGAAATCTCTGGGTTTACTTTGTGAATCATGTGGGCACACCTCACCGTGCTAACACCTTGTGCAACACCTCACAGCACCCTGGTTGAGTATCACAGCTCTACACCAGGGGTGTCAAGCGAACAGCCCACGGGCTGGATCCAGCCCATGGAGCCACTGTATCCAGCCCACCAGGCTGGATACAGGCCACTGGAAGTTGGGGCCGATTGGCAGCATGAGGGCAACCAAGGGATGACCTGACCCTGATCGCCCTCTGGCCTCTTCACCTGTCACAACTCCAGCTCATCTGCTGCCACTGCCACATGGACCCATCACCTCCGTATGCTCCAGGCTGGAGTGGGAGTTGTCACCCCAGCAAGAAATATGCATCGGGGGCAGCAGCTCCAACACTGACATGGGGCATGCAGGGGAGCAGTGACTGCTGGCACACCATGCACTGGGCTGCAGTTACCCTGTGTCCTGGGCTGGATCTAGCCTGTGAGGAGCCCTGCAGCGCAGATCTGGGCCTAGACAGGCAAGTTTGAAACCCCTGCTCTACAGCAAACACAACCGTGGTTGTGATCCCTTATGTTTCACAAGTGCCAAGCGCAGCTCCAAGGCGCCCACGAAAGTGCCCCTTCAGTTTGGCCATCCCCCGGAAGAGACTATCGCCAGCCCCCTTTCCTCGAACCGGCACCGCAGCAACCCCTGTGACCCCTCAGAGGTTGGGCCTTGCATGGGGCCAGCCGTGGCATTTCTGTGAAGGTGAAAACAAGAGGCCTTTTGGGAGTCATGCCTCGCCCCGCGCCCAAGCAAGGCTACGGTGGCAAGCAGGGTGCGAACTGCAGGGGACCTTGGGGAAGCTGACCCCTCCCCCCATAAGAGCCAGGACTCCCCTGTAAGATTTGCAAATCATAACCTGGGAGGGGGCAGGTCTCTGATTTTATGAGGGCGTTGCAATGGGCAGCCCAAACTGTTTGAGTAGACCCCCCGAGTCATTTGAACCCTGGTAGTTAGTCATGAAGGCGGCGCGCCCCCGGAGGCTGGGGAGCCCTTGGGCACGGGGTCCCTGTCGGAGAGCCCCAGGCCGGGGCAGCCCAGCAGCAGCCCCCAGCGGCGGAGGGGACTTGCCAGGGAACAGCGCCTGAACCCCCCAGCCCCCCGGCACCTACCCACGCCC